TTTTTTGCTAGCTCCCACCCTGATGGAATGTCTGGACAAAAAAGGAGGAAAATATTTTATCATGGTACCCAAGGGTGTTCCCTATGTTTGTCTCTACTTTTCTTTTGGTGAATTCCTAAATCAAAATTCAAACATCGACATTCATCTAAAATAACGATAAACATTCAATGTTTGTCGCCTAGCTCATCACACACTTGACATATGACTAACTGAAACGATCGATATAGTTGACTAGAGGAGGGAGGGGTGAATAGGCAACTAACAATTTTTAGCTTTTCTTTACCAAATTAAAGTTTGCATCAAAGTAGGTTGTCTAGATATGCAACTAAGTGAGCAACCTATATGATGCAACAACAACAAGCACACAAGCAAGCAAGGGATACAATACTATATATGCTTGCATAAGTAAAGGTGAGAGATAACCAAGAGTGGAGCCGGTGGAGACGAGGTGTGTTACCGAAGTTCCTTCCCTTTGAGAGGAAGCACGTCCCCGTTGAAGCGTGTGGAGGCACAATGCTCCCCAAGAAGCCACTAGGGCCACCGTATTCTCCTCAAGCCCTCACACAATGCGAGATGTCGTGATTCCACTATTGGTGCCCTTCGAGGCGGCGACCGAACCTTTACAAACAAGGTTGGGGCAATCTCCACAACTTAATTAGAGGCTTCCAACGACACCACAAAGTTTCACCACAATGGAATATGGCTCCGCGGTGACCTCAACCGTCTAGGGTACGGTGCTCAAACACCCAAGAGTCACAAGATCTACAAGGGATTAGTGGGAGAATCAAATTTCTCTTGGTGGAAGTGTAGATCGGGGACTTCTCAACCAATCCCTAGAAAATCAACAAGTCTTGCTGGGTACATTTGTACTCACGTTTGCTTAATTTATGTTTTGCAGAGAGATGTCAGTCTCGCTAGTAGTTCCACGTGGACCTTGACGTTTAGCTTGATACCTCAGCTACGATCTTGTGCCCTCGGCAGGATCTTGTAGATAGTCAGGCTTCTCAACCTTTTTCATTTGTAGATGTCTGTACTCAGACATGTTAAGCTTCCGCATGTGCTTTGACTTGTATGCTCTGAATGTTGGGTCATGAGACCTATGTTTGTAATATCTCGCTCCTCGGAGCCTAATGAATAAATACTTGAGTCGTAGAGTTATGTTGTGATGCCATGTTGTATTTACACATATCGAGCATATTGTGTGTATGATTGAAATGCTTGGTATGTGTGGAATCCAACAACCTAGTTGTTTATTCTTGGTAGCCTCTCTTATGGGGAAATGTAGTCTTGTGCTTCCATGAGCCATAGTAGTCTGCTACAGCCCGGTTCACCGGAGTCCTGCTAGCCCAGCACTACTGCTCCGGAACACTTGACTGGCCGGCATGTGATTCACTTCGTTCCTATGTCTGTCCCTTCGGGGAAATGTCACGCGGTGACATCCGGAGTCCTGCTAGCCTGCTACAGCCCGGGTTCCCGAAGTCCTGTTAGCCCAGTTGCTACAGCCCGGATTCACACCTGCTGACTGACATGCTTGATATTGATTCATATATGCCTGTCCCCGTAAGTTAGTGCCACTTTGGGTTCAGGACTAGTCATGTCGGCCCGGGTTCTCTGTCATATGGATGCTAGCGACACTATCATATACGTGAGCCAAAAGGCGCAAACGGTCACGGGCCATCGTAAGGCGACACCCGTGGGAATACCGTGCGTGAGGCCGCAAAGTGATATGAGGTGTTACATGCTAGATCAGTGTGACTTAGAATCGGGGTCGTGACAACTTTGGTATCAGAGCCTGACTGCCTGTAGGTTTACCAAGCCAAACTGGTCGAAGTTGTGTCTAGAAATGCTTTAGTTATATAAGGGAATTGATTGTGGAAGGGAACATAAGGCTCTTTTTACTCCTTATCCTCATGACCTTCTGATCTGAGTCATCTTATCTTTTTCTACGGGGTTAAGAACTAGGCTTCTCTTCTATCTCTCAGGATGACGTGTTACTAAACCGTAGTTGCCTAGGAATGTTGATTTAAGCCTTAGTTCAGTTCCTACTACTTTCGTGTGTTCATAGCTGGCCTCAGAACCTTGATACTGTGATGTTGAGTGGCTATGCCACCATTTTTGTAGGATGTCTCAAATATTTTTGAGCATTTACAGCCGTTATGCTGTCCGAGTCATCCCAGGTTTCTAAATAGTCTGATGCATTTGCAAATCCCTTCTTTCCGTTCCCGATGTTTTTTTTGGGTCAGTTTAACCACACTAATCGGTGAGTTGAGGTACTATGTTGCCTCGACATTATGTTGTAGCTATTATTATGACCCTAGGTGTCATAGAGGATCACCTAGTAATCTAGCCATGTTTCGTATTCCTAGTGTGATGATTCTGGCCACCATTCTCGAAAGCATCCCGTGATGCCACTTATTTGGTAGGCATTCTATTCCTGGGTTCTTGAACCCGAGATTCACCCCACTTACTTCATGTTGATAGTGTTTGCTAGTTCCTTTAGGTTATTAGTAACCTTTGCATTAGTCCTCGAGGTCCGTGGTATTTCCTTCTTCCAAATACTATGACCCATTTATGGAAGAAGTTTGTTGAAACCAAAAGATCACAACAAAGTGCTCTTGATGAGTTCTCCATTCTTATTGTGACTCTGCCAATTCTACCTTCTGCATGGGTTATCTGGAAGAAACATGTTGAACTTTGCTCGACATGCTAATCCATGAATCCACAACTCGGAAAGTTATATGTTCCTTGAGTTGTCCCTCTTTAGTTGTCTTCTGACCTTCGTCTATCAATTGATAGTCAAGAGTATGCGTGCATTCGTTCATCGATGCCTATCATTCGTGTGGTCCGTTAAGCTATTCTACTACAAAATGACTAGGAGAAACAAACTTCAGCACCTCATCCATATCTAGGATTGGGTCAAAGCAATTGTATTCCGCAGATTAAGAATGCTAATCCAGCTTCTAGTCTGTTCTACCTTGGAGTGTTACCATCTTTCTGTCAGGAGTGTCATGAGAATTGCACCACCTCCTATAAATTCTTGACGCAGTAATACTTCTTGCCATCATTGTTCATTCCTCGGTTCCGTGTTACTGTAACCGGAATGCCGAAAAGTGTACTGTGATGTGCGAAATCAATACTCTCAATCTTAGCATGCTGGTTATTGAATCATCATCCTAAGATTGATCATGCTACCTAGTCCATATTTCCGGGTGCACTCATCGACCAAGGAGTTAGGATTGTGACAATCCCCCACTCCTTGATCATATCGTCTTGCCTGAAAAGCAAGATTGTTCTCGAGCTTAACAACATATCGGTGGTTCGTGATTTTTCGAATATCTTCTCGGAAGTATTACCAGGTTGTCACCTGACCGCTATGTTGAGTTCGTGATCATGTTGGTTTTCCTCCAAACCACCCATTCTCCAAGAATCTGTGTTGGATACCCTGAGCTAGTTGGTTAAGCTAAACAACAACTTGGAGAGTTGGAAGATGAAAGCTTGTCCGACTTAGTT